TTATGCTGACAAATAATATTTGAACAATGCTACATTCAACTTAAAATGTATGAGAGACTCAACATAAGCAATATTGCTTGGACTGTTAAAACTGAGCTGATTGACACACAAGCCATATTTGAGTTATATGATGATATTCTGACAGTGACAATAATAAAAAAAAATTGACATATAAAGCCTATATAATAAACATCAGCCACAAACAACATAACAAAGTTTAAAGACCAGTAAATGTGACTCACATTTTCAAATAATTTCCTAGCCTTTATTGCCACAGACTGTGGAGTCAGTAATGAAAGAACAAATGCATAATGCACATGTTTTTGTAACTTTAGCTTTTTACAGTTACTTGGGTTATTGTGGTAAGAATACTGATTCTGTAGTTCAGAAACTTTAAAAACCCAGACAGGCTCAGAATATGTATTTTATCTGTCTATTCAACCAATAAAGACAACAAAGACTGAATATTCTAAGGTCTATATATCTAATTAAGGTCCTTGGGCAGCAAGATTCAATGAACACCAAAACTAACTGGAATCTTTCAAAAGACTTTGAAGGAAAACGTACTAGCTAGATTGGCATGGCTGCAAAATCAAAATGTTAGTGTGTTGCCCATCATTTGTGGCCTTTTTCTTAGAATCTCGTTTCCTAGCTGTACACTATAAGCCAGTCTAAGCTTTCACTAAAAAAAAAAAACAACAACCCACCAAAAACCCCTAACCTTTCTCACTACAATGAAAATGTGAAAAATCTTGAAAACGTGATCTCAAACACACCTCAGTTCAAAATGTCAGGGAAATCAATAGAATTTATTTGGAATGTATAGCATTTGCAGAAAGATCCATGGATTTTCAATACTGAATGTTAGCAATATTCCATACATGTCGCAGTTTACACTACTAAGCTGTAAATAAGTAACACTGTGTCATATAACAAGCTCCAACCCACTTCACAGTCCCTGTATGGTACAGCAATAGTAAAAGAACAATACTCACGTGGAAAATCTTTGGGATGTGTTTTCTCTGACCAGTTTCCATAAAAAGTTAGCCTGTATTTGGCAGTTCCACAGGCACAACAATCTAAAATTGGTTTGTCAGTCACACCTTCTGCGGCTGAGTCTGAAAAAGCACCAAACTCAAAATCAACAGATGACAGCAAAGTTGCCATAATAAATACTCCAGTAAATAAATCAGAGTTAAACCCATACTTTTTTGTTTACTTTTAAGTTGGGCTACACTAGACTAAACTAGAACCCGAAATACATGGATCATATTTTTAACTGGAGGTAATGAATTAAATCTATATTTTTTGACAAAACCTCAGTTGATCTCAAAGTACAATAGGCTTAAAATTTCCAGACAGCCAAAACATATCAATTCTCCAGTGGGATGCAATAACCAACTGCAATGCTTAGATTTAGAAAAGGATGAAATATCCCAGTATTCAATAAACTTAAGTGCCCTGGAGACAAATGAGCTTCACATGAAGGCCAGGTAATAAGGCGCAAGTATCACTTCTAGGGGTAAGCAAGGAAGATTGTATGAGGAACAGTATATGTGATAAGGAAGACCATAATTGAGTAGGAGATCCCAAATTTGAACCTGGATGAAACTGTTCAAGGCCTCAAAATTTTAGTTTGATATAATGAGTTAAGAGAAATATCTAGAGCACAACAAGGAAGTCAGAAAGACGATTTACTTTACATTACCTTGTTCACAAATTTTTTTGGTGAGAGAACCCTCATCTTGAAAATAAATTATTCGCTTCTGCACGATACTGGCTCTATAAAGAAAAAAAAAAGTTTTAAATATATTTAATCCTTTAAAGAAGAAGAAAATGCATGATAAAGTGGCAAAAGGACAGAACTGAACTCCTAAAACCTAGGCATACTTCCCTCTTCTGACAGTACATATACGCAATACAGGACTACAGATAGGATATTTTTATTTAAATTTGCATTTGAATTTCATTACATTTTACAGAAACTTGGAATGTTATTATCTTTAGGGAAGTGATCATAGTCACATGGTGAGGATCTGTGCTCTTGAAATGCATGACCGTCAATTGAATATTCAATGTTTCAATCAAATCTTATAATAAAATACTAAAATGATATTCAATTTCAGAAAAATAGCACAGCTAAAGCAAGTAGCTGTTTGTAGGAAAGGGAAGGGGGGGAGTGAGTAAGCAGCTGTGTCGTGTTCAGCTGCCTCCCAGGTTAAGCCACAATGCCACCTTAAATTTAATTAAATCTAGAATATTTTATTAAGACTTGTAGTTCAAACACAATGTAAGTTTGTGAACCTCAGTTTAGTGGGAACAGGGAAGTTGAATCTTAAAACAATACAGGGAAAACCAGAGTTACTGTGTAATTTAATTTTTTACAGCTGAAATTTAGCCAGTTTTTAGCCTCCCACCTGAGAGACCATAAATTGAATTTTGCATCAAAGATCTTCAAGCCAGCAAAGCACCAAGCCCAAGTTCTTCCAGACTGGTATCATAACCACCATGTAGTAAACATAAAAACCAATAATCAACTAGAAAAACATGTTCAAATTGCTCACATGACCCCTCGCAGTTCTAAATAAACTTAACTGGCTTCTTTTACCATTTTTTAACTATAAAAATTTAATTCACATGTAAACTTTATCTTATTTCAGAATTTGGTTAAATTCAGACATTCTTTGGACAGAGTGTTTTCTGAAGAGAATGTGCTTTGGGAGCTGGCACTCTTTGTTTACCAGTAAGGGAGCACATTCTTCTAGCAACATTTTATACCATCACTTGTATTTAAAACTCTAAATGCCAAGGGCCAGATCCTTGTCTTACCTCCACTTTACAGGCAAATAATTATCTTGATCTCACTAGAGTTATTCCTCACTCATATCAGTTGAAGTAAGAAAAAAAATAAGATTATATATGCTTAGAATTCTTGTAGTGACGTAAACCTTTATTTGACAATGTCCCACTGCATAAATTTATCAAAAATAAGATGCAATTTTACTGTGCTTCCTTTGTCAGGATACAAGGTCAGACTAGGATAGGAAGGAATCCTTCATTTCACATTATCAAGCAGCCAGGAAAATAACTGGGTTTTGCAAATCTCTTAAAGCTAGATCAAACTGGAAAGGGAGCAGAAACTACAGCTTGCTCTCATCCTTAATAGGGCTGGCATCTTCTAAAGTATGATGTGGTAAAGGCAATACAGGCAACCGACCAATGCTCTGAAAAAACAACCTGAAACAGAAGAGCAAGACTGACCTTTGCAAAAAGCAGGGGCATGATCTGCCAGTATTGGGTGAAGGGGAACTCCTAGGCCTTGTCTTTGTAATGGAGTGTTTACACTAGGGATAAATATGAGTCTGCACCAAATAATAGAAAGTGAATGAAACCTAGAGTTCGTTGAATCTGTCTTTTATTAATATGAGAATTGTCATGGGACAATTGAAATGGTGACAGAAGAGACTGACCAAGTGTGTGAGAAGCTGAATGAAAGCTTTCTGAGAAATCTTTTTCAGGGTTCCTAACAAGAAACAAGGGGGGAAAATAAAAGAAACAAAACCACCAAAATGTAGTAGCAAGAATATGAGCCCAATGGCCAGCCTCTGACAGTGGCATGCTACTTCCAGAAGTCACTTCCAACCTAAATTATTCTATGATCCTGTACTTTAAATATCATTTTAAAGAACAAGTTTTCCAAAGCTTACTCAAAAAAGAAGCTCCCAAATCTGCAGATAACAAAGATATTACATGTATTTAATTTCAGAAGGAGTTTTTATAGCAACAAAATGTAGAAGATTGTTTGAAGCCTGCAGTGTACTTATATTGTTCTTTTTGCTGCAGTTAGCTTGTCACTGTGCAGTGTCAAGGGAACAGTGCCTTTTCTAACAACAAAAGCTTCACAGCTTTCAGAGTCATTGTCTCTTCAGCTGTGTTTGAAATTATATATGGGGCCAATAATCTAAATGTGAGCCTTGTTACTAATTCCAAGTGGAACAGGATTGATACATTAGATGGCTGCATAAATACCAAAAGCAAGCACACAACTTTACAAACACTCAGACAGAAACAATATTAAATTAATTTTAAAATATTCATTGTCTTAATAATCGGCTTCTATATTGAAGGCAGACCAAAGTATCTGATCAGCGTATTTGCCTAGTTTTTATCACTACATTTGTTCCCCCCACCTTTTTTTTTTTTTTTTTTTTTTTTTTTATAATGTTTTATTAATGTAGAAAAGTTCTGATTTGGACTAAAGATTCTTTCCTTTGGTTTTGAGGCTTACGAAAAAAGCTTAAAAATGGAATGGCTAACTTTTACAGAGATGTAGGAAAGCTTTTAAGAATTTACACAAGGTACACATCTGCTTAGTCTGCATAAAACCTTCCCGCCACTTCCAATACCCAGTGCTGTCTGAACTTTGTGGGAAGGGGAGATCTGATTGCTTTCCCTTACAAATTAACAGATCTAAGTAGATCTTTAATTGACTTATTTATCTCTTTGATTGTCACCATACCATGGAATAAAAAAGAAAAAGGAAACAAAGATGACTCCAAAACTCTGTTTCCCATTATCTTCGAAGCGATGCTTCTGGATTTGTGATAAAGCTTTTCCATCACCAAAGTAAGGAGCAAAACCTTACGTTACAGGCATATATACACCCAGCAGCACCTGGTTTTATTTTTAAAAAGCTCCTAAGAGTGTTACTTAGTATTTCTGTTTTGTAGTTCTCTCAGCAAAATCAAGGAATATCTAGTAGCTTCTGTAATATTTGTTTTGGCAATGCTACTTCAGAATGTTGTAGGCTGGATACACAAGGAGGTCCGAGTCTGTCCTGTCTCCGTTTGGTCAGACCACATCTGAGCATGAGGGGAGTGAGACCTGCCCTGAAAGACTTCCCTGGAATTAGAAGGTCGCTCTCCACCACAGTTCTGCAATGATTGAACCATCCTCCTGTGAAAAGCTCTACCAGAGTCACATAAATTGCATTTGGGATATTAACAAATGGGAAATGTCATAAACCATAAAAATTCAGAGCAGCGTTGGGAATGCTCCAAGTCATACCAGAAACAGAGTTGGGTTGGTGGTTTTGGTTTTTTTACACTTCCATAGAAACAGCTTTAGATAATCTTCCTTACTCTTTCTGTCAAATCCTAGCATCAACAGAAATGCTCTTATTTAAATTGCCTCTGTGGGTGTAATGATGTGACAAAAGTAGTATGGAAGAGGATCCATAAGAGTTGTTCCTATCACATTTTTAAGCTTACATCAAAACCATTAAGTACGATATTAGAGTTACATTTTAATAAACCAGGTTTTGCCAGAGCTGGTGAGGATACCCTAAGTTTCACCTGGATATTGAGAAAGAACTGGATTGCAGATAAGAAACTTTTTCTACTCTATATTACTTATGAATTAACCTTCTCTTGCCCTTCCAGCCATCAAGGTTATTTTCTTTAATTATTCCATGTCTTACTGATTTAATTACATTATAATAAGTTATTTCCCACCCCAGAAAGCTACCAAGAACAACTTTACTTAAAAGGATGTTAAGTTTGTTTGGGTTTTTTGGTTTTGTTGTCTTTTAGAGAGAAAGAATTTCTAAATGAACCATTTCCCTTAGCACTATAAAGTGATGTGAAAACCATGTATTTATATCTACTGTAATCTTGTTCATGCTAGAGGATTTTGTAATTCTAATGCATTCTTTAGGATGTTCTCATTTTATTTCCTTTGTGTTGTCTTAGAACAAAACAACCCTGTGTTTCCGTCAAGCACTTAAAAGGGTCAGGAAATGTGCAAACCCCCAGAAGTTTACCAACAACTTTTACTTCTCTTTCTAATATTTAGGGTAAACTTATAAGAAATAAATTAAAATTCCTCTGAAAGCATATACAACCCTTTAGCAATTAGATGCCCAGCAATTTTTACACTGGTAGGGTATTTGACAACTACATTCTTCAAAATAATTTTCAACTAGGAAACTGTGCTCAGTCTCACCAAAGGACAAGCTCCCTACACCAGAATCTAATTTTGTCATCAGCCATCATTGACAAGGGTCAGTACTATTAAAAATTTGCATGAAATTATTCCTTTTTTGATGCCTAACTTAGGAGCTAACACAGATGGTCCAGGTTTTGTTGCTGTCTTATTGGGTTTGCTAGTTTGTTTGGTTTTAAGTATGTCGTTAACACTGTTTCAGCAAACCAACCAGACTTGACATTTGATGTTGGATAAACCAGTCATATTAATGTCAAGCTTATCAATGTTGCCACAAGTCAACATTTACATCCCTGCACAGGATGAGTGCCTTTTCTCTAATAGATAAGTCAGATGAAAAACAATAGAAGTTGTTCACTTCTAAAAAATTCAGTGCATATATATATGCCAGAATATCCTTCTTCAGTTTTATTTTTCAACATTTTACCCATACTGTCAGGAAATATAATTGAGAGAAACCCCACAGCAAGAGCAAAGTACTCTAAACTTGTCTTACAAATTTGCTGTAGCTTCTAAACCCTTTTGGTTGTCCTTCAGATCATACTCAGGTCTACCATCACATGCATACACGGGAGCTCACTGACTTCAGGACTGATTTGGCCATCATATATAATACAACAAAAAGCTCTAAGGGAAAACACAATTATATATGCTGCTATCGCTGCTATCTCGTATTTGTCCTCAGAAAATCTCTCTGTTCTTTGCTTGAATGGCCACAAGGCATAAATATTAAATCTAAAATCTTCAGGATAAAAACTCATACTGACAAAATCATTTCT